CCCCCAGTACCCACCTGGTACTTGTTGGTGGAGTTGAAGGGGATCTCAGTGACTTTGGGGTTCCGGTCCCGCATCCTCTTGACGGAGCCGCAGGACAGTTGGATGCACTTGAGCAGAGCCGACTCCGACGCGTCCCCAGCCGTGTCCCTCTGGGGGGGGGACACACCGGGGGGGTCACGGGGCACCTCGACCCTCCATGGGGTCGGAGTCCCACAGGGTGGGGGTCCCACAGGGTCAGGGTGCCAAGGCTCTGGGGTGCTGGGGGTTCCACAGGGTTGGGGTCCCACAGGGTGGGGGTCCCACGGGGTTGGGGTCCCACAGGGTCAAGATGCCGAGGCTCTGGGGTGCTGGGGGTTCCATGGGGTCGGGGTTCCATGGGGTTGGAGTTCCATGGGGTTGGAGTTCCATGGGGTCCAGGTGCCAAGGCCCCGGGGTGCTGGGGGTTCCACGGGCTCAGGGCATCTGGGGGTCAGGATGCCAGGGGATTGGGGTGCTGGGGGATCAGGATGCCAGGGCATCAGGATGCCAGGCTGCTGGGGATTCCATGGGGTTGGGGGACCACAGTGTCAGGGTTCCATTGGATCGGGGTCCCACAGGGTTGGGGTCCCACAGGGTCAGGGTCCCACAGAGTTCTGTGTTGTTGGGTGTTCCATGGGATTAGGGTTCCATGGGGGACCCTCTGACCCCCCACCCGGGCCCCGGGAACCCCCCGGACCTTGGAGATGGAGATGTTCTCCTGGCCCAGCTCTGACCCCCCCCGGGTCCTGGGGGACCCCCCCAAACCTTGGAGATGGAGATGTTCCCCTGGCCCAGCTCTGACCCCCCCAAACCTTGGAGATGGAGATGTTCTCCTGACCCAGCTCTGACCCCCCCAAACCTTGGAGATGGAGATGTTCTCCTGGCCCGGTTTGAAGACGGCGCGGTTGCAGAGCCCGGCGATGCGCGCCAGGGCCGCCCACGTGGGAGAGCGTTTGTCGAAGGTGGCACCTGGGGGGGCACGGGGGGCACGGTCAGGGGCATGGAGGGCACCCCCGGGCTGGTAGGGACCCCCCCATGCCATCACAGAGGGGTCCTGGGCAGGGGGTGAAAGGGGGACAGGGGCAGGGGCACAAGGGGTGGGGGTATTTAGAGGGGTGGGGGGCTCAGAGAAGTGACACCTTGTCAAAGGTGGCACCTGGACGAGCACGGGGGGCACAGTCAGGGGTGGGGGGGGCACCCCCGGGGTGGTTGGGACCCCCCTGTGCCATCATAG